GTTAATCGAAACCATTTCATTGTACATATAAATTTTCACGACGAAGCAAAGGAAAATAATAAGAAAGAGTTATGTTAATTTCGTTCATCATCTTCATCACGTAAAAAAGACGGAGATTGCGATGACTAGTTGCATTATATACAGAGATATGCTATAGTTTTTGCAGCATCAGTGGAAAAAGTTTTCTACTATGATACTTTTAGCAAAGGGTCTTCTATGACATGATCATTAATTCCAAATGATATGTATCGTCATCTTTGTTCTCTTTATTTTTTAATGTTGTTAGCAAACAGGTATTCTTATAAATTAATTTATGTTTGCTAGAGTAGATATCTGACTCAAATTATCAAACCTGTTCCTTATTTTTATTATCCCTTTTAGGATTTTATAATCGCTTAAACATTATATGCTGATACACTCAACTATTACAAAGCGTTGAAGGATGTGAAAATTAACAATGATAAACAATACTTAGTACATGTGCCTATGTGCGTCCTACATAGGGTTACCATTTATGAATTTGACGTCCAGAGAAAACGCCCGACATTTCGATATAGGTCTGGACTTTTAAGTCCCAAAATGGACATATTACTTACTTAGTTACAGTTGTAGTGGTATGGTAGGCATGGTAGGAGACACTCGCATTGCATCCGGCCAAGCTAAAGAGCCGGACAAATTTCGAACATGTATGGACTAATCCAGACAGAAGATAACCCTAGTCCTACATTTGCACCATCAGTATCGAATCACAAGAAGTAGCAAGGCCGAACCAATGCTTGTCATGAGCACTGTTTATTTATGGCGAACAACTCTAATTAATGCAAAGGGATAAATTTACATTCAGGTTTTCCTCATAAATTATGAACGTTGTTACATTTTTCTTTACACTTTACTAGGTACTAAGCTGAGATATAAAATTTAATAAATGGAAAAGGCGAATTTACCTAATGACAATCGCTGCGATAAATATACAAGTATGATATCTTAATAAATCAGGTCGAGATACTATTATTATCAAACTGACATAATAAAGATATATTTGTGTGAATAGTCTCGAGTCTTATCCTTTTCCCGAAACGTTTGGCCGTCAGCCAAAGCACGTTTTCCTTCATTGTTGCATTTAAGTAGGTAGTATATATTAGCAAATTTAGCCTCAAAATGTATACCAATCTAAAGCAATATTTACCTATTAACAAAACTAAACATCTGAACTAATATCCGTTCAGAAACATCTAAATAGGTAGGTAAGTATATGGAAGTTTTTTTTAAATTACCCAATTTTACTTGATATTCGTAAAAAGTTTTCGCTTTATAATTAACTAGTGGCCCGCCCTCGCTTCGCTTCGGTGTAGAGCTGTAGTGTAGACTATAGTTTTTGTTCTCAGGCTTGTATTAAACACAATGACATTATTCTAATACCTAATTAGAATAGGCACGCGTCGCCAAGCCGGGGTGCTTGGCGGCGGGGGCCCGATAGTGTCGGAACCGCTATGTCCCTGCATTTTAAATCTATAATATCTTCGAAAATATTCATTTAAATGACATGTCTTAAAGGGCGAAATTAGTCTATATTAAATGCACAATGTATTAAAGGTACTTAATTGGATAAGGGTGAATGTTACATTACTGAAAATCGCTTCGTAAATAATCTACTATTTCTCGTAAAAAGTATAGGATAAAAAATGGTTATTGTGGGTTATCCCTAAGAGATAGACATATACCATCGCGGACTTTTTTGTAAACCTTTTTAAGGTGTACAATACTGTAGTACATTATTTTGATCTATCTCGTAGGGTTCAGGCCAGCGTTTGCAATGTAAGCGCAAAAAATGTGTTTATTTACGACCTTTCATTAAAAACCTCTAAAATTATCAGTGTTTCTCTACTATATTATGCATGTATTATACCTACCTCTTGAATCACTATCTATTAAAAAAAAACACAAAAACATAGGGATATAGGGACAGACAGCGGGAAGCGACTTTGCTTTATACTATGTAGTGATGCAACGAAAAGTTTGAAACACCATCTAAACAAAGATATATCTTATATATATATCCTTATATATAAGGAAATCTGATTAGCATTTATTTAGATAAAAAAGTAAAATCAAATATAAGTAACTAGCAATCCCACCTGACGATGTCCTGCCTGATAAAAAAAACTTTATTTAAGTTAATTCAATAAGGAGTAGTTAAGAGTTAATTTAAGTTTAATACAATTTCAAATTATTCGTGCAGTTTTCTCATTTTTTTCTCGTAAGAACCTTCTACACAATACCTACCTATTTGAAAACTTAAAAATAGATGAATGAAAACGGTAAAGTAGTTCTCAAGTTATGCCGTGACCAAGGGAAATAGGGATTTATTTTATAGATTTAGAATATTTCGAAAGAGCATTAGTGAAATAAATTTCCTTCGCGTGTAAACCATTTGCGATTATCAAATAAGCATATGGCCTCCATGACGGTCAGCGGCCAGAGCGGAGCAGAAAATCTATTCTGTGGGTTTCGGCCAATATAGCCTATCTGATAAGATTAGAAACCAGAGTAACAATCGCGCATTTTCTACTTCAGCCCCCTGTCATTTAGAGCCCTGGAAACTTGACTCACCGAGCCTTTCCTGTATAGTACAGTCAATCTGTAGGTTGAGTCGTGAAAAAAAAACCTAAAGGGTAAGTCTTGATTTTTCTGTTGCCAAATGACGTCAGTAAGCCACCTTGGCGATGGGCATGTTCAACTCGTAGGCGTTTTTTGAAAAACTCAAAAAAACCGTCAAAATTTTTTTTAAAACGCATTTTTCTTGTTTTGTAACATTTTTGGAAATTTTATTTGGACCATAATTGTAGAGGGCGTTGAGTACTACAATTTATGTCATTGTTGCAATCTCGTACAACAAAAAATCCGCATTGTAGGTGGCGCTAAAGTCGTAAAAAAAGTGTTTTTTCACTTTTTCACCCTGAAAATATCATTTTAATGGAAAACTTTAAATGGCGAAGTTGTTTCGTACATAATTACCAACAACTTTTGTATAAACAATTTTTTTGTATTACTTACCGTTTTCAAGTTATAAATTGCGCAGGTATGAAAAATCCAATAGAGCGGTTTTGGGCAGTTCAAGTACACATTTGCAGTGCACATTTCAATGTACGTTTTTACATTTTTTTTTTCAATCATGAAAAAAAAAAAAAACTATTTTTTTTTTCATTTGTTTTTGTTTTTCAATCATGAAAAAAAAATTAAAATAGTAAAACGTACATTGAAATGTGCACTGCAAATGTGTACTTGAACTGCCCAAAACCGCTCTATTGGATTTTTCATACCTGCGCAATTTATAACTTGAAAACGGTAAGTAATACAAAAAAATTGTTTATACAAAAGTTGTTGGTAATTATGTACGAAACAACTTCGCCATTTAAAGTTTTCCATTAAAATGATATTTTCAGGGTGAAAAAGTGAAAAAATACTTTTTTTGCGACTTTAGCGCCACCTACAATGAGGATTTTTTGTTGTACGAGATTGCAACAATGACATAAATTGTAGTACTCAACGCCTTCTACAATTATGGTTGAAAAATGGTCGACAGATTGACTGTACTAGTATGCAACAGCCATTATAATATTATGGCATGTGATTTATGGAAAAAATATTACCAGTATTGAAAATGATCGACTGAATACCTGTGAAGGACTTCATTTTTTACTTTCATTCTTTTTCAGTATAAAAATGTACATAATTATAAAACGATGACCTAAAGCAAATACCTAGTAGGTAATGCATTTAAAGACAGCAGACACATTTTATGTGACGACATTTTAATAGTGTAGGTACTGCATGAAAAACACTCTTAGCAAAAAGAGGTGCATTGCGTGGTGCAATGTACAAAAAACAAATTTGAGAATGGTCATGTAAACAAGTTAATAAAATACCGATCACGTCTCAGTGTCAATAATGACTTCAGAGCTATAAATATGCCTGACGACACTTGCATTATTCAGCTAGACCTTAGTGCTTGATATGATAACAAACAGCTTGGGTCCACACTTGTGTCTGCTTAGCATCAAGCGAATTGGATCGAATTGAATGTTGTCGTATCACACAATGATGTAGAATTTGTGCCGTATGAAAGAGAATTAGGTATGTTTGATATGCACACGGGCTGTTTGTACTAAAAACTTTGGCAGTTTTCTTTACTGGATTGAAGAATGTTTCATGATTAAGAAAATCTATTTATACCGAACAACTTATTTGTTATTTGTCGTTCAATATAATAAAAAAAATACTATGTAATATGATATCGTCTACTAAGGTATATAATGCTTGAATATTAAAAAGTTAACGCCATGCTATCTTATCCGAAATCAATTCGTCATAAGTATTATAGGTTCTTACATAGGTAATTGTATAGAAATATATTTTCTAGTACCTATAGTAAACGTAGGTATGTCAATTTGTAGAGACGTGGAGAGATTGCGGTTAGAGTTACGGCCTCATATTACATTAAATTATTACTCCTCTGTATTAACTTTGACGTTGTTCTACCAATGTACAATATATGATTCAAAATACATTTGTTAATTATTTGTTAAATTAATTTCCTATATTCACAAATCTAAATTCACTTTAATAGTATAGGTCTATCTTATTAAAGAAAAATATTAAGCAAAACAGCCATTTTCAATATTAATTTATGTGTCCATAATAAAACTTCCTTATTTCTCGGTTGTCGACGATTTGGTACGAATCAAGAAATGTTAATAAAATCTTGTGTTGAATTCTAAAATTCTTTGTTTTATGAAATAATACAGTAAAATTAAAAATGGACTGGATGGAAAAAAATATAGGAAAAAGGCAATATATCTCGTTAACATGGTTGTGTCGACTGCGTGCGGGTGAAATCAATGCCTCAAGGTTATTTACCTACTACATAGTTAAAATATTAGCTAAAATCGTTTGCCTATGTTGCCTTATAGTATAAAAGCAAGCTGTAAATGATAACTTACCATGAGTTTTTTATGTCTTTGATCCCAGAAAAGGTTATGCTGTTAGATCTGTTGAGTTTCTTTCCAATAGTCCAAAATCTGATCTTGTTGTGGTTATCCTCCTCGTGGAAAGGGTTGAGGTGTTCTGGATAATCTTGAATGGAGAAGCTCTTACGCGGAGCCGCCATGGTTGTCATATTTGCGTCAGATTTACACTTATTAGGTACACTTTTACATAATACACAGCAAAGGCGTCGACCACTTGTTCCTTTATCAGTAATCACACTGGTGAGTTATCACGCGTTGATAAAGCTGTATCGTTTTATCGCGGCGAGATAATTGGCGTGTTTGTTTTCGCGGCTGAGCTCGAGATCGAAGCGTCGCCGTCGCGGCGCTCGGCGTCGCGTGTTGAGGCATACTAGCTGCGGTCGCTAGTCCGCGAGTCCGTGACCCGCCGTACCACTGTAAGTGTAGGAGCACATGAATCACACATTGCGTTGCTGCGTCGCACCGCAAAGATTTCGCCGTATCGGTTGGCACACGAACGGTGTGGTGCCGCAACGTTACGTCGTAATGTTTTGCGACGTCGGAGTGGCACCGCTCAGTTGTTTATGTGTTTTAAGGAATGTTAGCTGCTAGGGCGCCCCGATGGCACCACTGCGACGTAACAACGTTGCGACGCTACACTGCTCGTGTGCCTATGCCCACTGATACGGCGAAATCTTTGCGGTGAGGCGCCGCGCCGCAACGCATCGTGTGCTCCTACTCGTATACTTACCACCGCACGCCGCTGCCGTCGACCAAACACCGCTATCACATCTCTCCGACCATGTCTCACACTCACACTTCTTTCGTTGCTTCATAATACCTATGGCCGTATTTTCATGACATATGCGTCACACTTATTGTATTGTTGAATAGCATTTAAATACAAGACAATGAATCTACTACAAATCAAATAGTACAAACTAAATTAAAAAAATCATCTAAATATCCAGATTTTAGTTACTGGCTCATTTGTAACAGGAAGAAAGAGAACAATAGTCGATTTGTTTAAAGGAAGATAGATAAGAAACTATAGGTGCGTTTAAAATAAAGAAAAATATTTTCTTTATATTATACGTAGGACGTAGGTACCAGTATTAAATTTAGCTGCTGTGCCTGCCTAATTACTAGAATAAATGTTGTTATTGTTATTTCTAATTGATTATGCTAGTTTCTTAATTACCCAATCAGAAACCTAAATTGTACGCTGTATTTTGTTACGAAGTTGAAATGTTTAAATTCCTACGTAAGCTGAGAAATCAATGATGATGGCAATGGGTTAGTGACAGATTATCAATTGTAATTGTGTTTCGTTTGTAACAGTTATAAAACGAGAGGTTTATGGGTTTATCACTTGAACGGATTGTAAAAGCAGTCAGTAAGTATATAACGATGACGCCAGATGTGTCGAGGCCACGTCATCAACAAGATAGGCGAAGGTCGTGTCGAGTAAACATAAGAAAAAATATCGTTCCATAAATAAATACTTGATGTTTAATGAAACATCTCGCAAATTACGCAATGACAATGGGCACGTAAGCCGGACAAGAAACTATTACCTGCTAATCGAAAACTCTTGGATTACCCTAAACCTCCTACAAAATAGGGCACAATATCGAACGCACAAATAAGTCTGCAGCATTAACAACACTGTAATATTAATGCTTTCATCAAAAGGTCGACGTTTTCTCTCTTTTTTCACTTCTATTCGTCCACCAAAATGTTAACTCTATTGGACCGACACGCGATGCTATCGATCCATTGCCAACTGTTTGGTTTTACTTGTATCTATGTATTTTATAAATCATGACTCTCTAAACAGATATAGCGGTGGATATACATCGTACGTCAGTAGAAACTTTTCTTCTTTTCAATACAGTTTCCGAACAGTAGTTTTACATTCGTTGCTTTATTTTACATTTACATAGATGAAATGCTACCGATTTGGCTAGGTGCCCTGATCCTCGACAATAAAAACAAGGTGACGTCCTACCCACTTACTCGTCCGTCGTCCCCATTTATTCTTTGTTTTAGTGCCACTGCACTTTAGTTACTGTTCCTACTTTGCACGAATAAAGGTTCCAAAACAGTAGGTATACTCGTCTACAATGAAGGTCAAAACTGCGGTTATTGTTCTCAAACACGGCAAGTAAATGCAGAATAATTTGCACATTAATTTGGAAATATTTAATTCCTACACGAACAAAACTTATGTTATTGGTGAAATTGACATTTTCTTTCCGTTTTTTTGTATGCAGTAAAAAGGTTAATAAAACTTTATACGTATTAGGTAAGCGTTCGTTTGGTTGACAAACTATTTATTAGGTACCTATTTGCATGCATATATGCTATGAGCACACGCAAACGCTAAGAATTCAATAATCGAAAACTTTAATAAAAGTTGATTAGGCAAACCTTCATTCGCTTCATGGCTGCAGTAATGGAGTAGCGGAAACTCTCATGCGTATGTCGATTAGATTGCACCATCAATTGTGGCCAATATCGCCAATTCATTGACTGGGTCAGTGGATGAATTGTCTTGCTCAATACTGCCCTATTCACCGAAGCCCTCTTCCTTGATTGTAAGACAATGGAATTGATATTATTTGTTTCTTTTGTTTATTTAAAATCCTTTGTCTCTGTTTGTCTAATCGCATTATAATGTCTAGGTAATTAATTCCCTTTACAGTAAGCTCAGATCTATACATAAAGGACATTATAATAAAATAGAAGGTATGAAAATATAATTAATTATTCATCAAAATGTGAAGTTTCATATAATTTAGAATTATTTACAGTAATTTATGAACCGCAATATACTTACTAATATATGCTATTTTCCCATTATTAATACTATTCCCATTTAACGTTTGTTAGAATTCATCAAAATTTGAAGTTTCATATAATTTAGAATTATTTACAGTAATTTATTAACCGCAATATAATTACTAATATATGCTATTTTCCCATTATTAATACTATTCCCATTTAACGTTTGTTAGTTCTTCAAAACCTGAAGTTTCATATAATTTAGAATTATTTACAGAAATTTATGAACCGCAAATTGTTTATCTATTTCGTACTTAAAAAGAAGCTAAGTATTGTTTAATACACAGGTTTTCCTTAAATTGGCTCCCGGTACCCTACGGGATTATATGTGGCTGGAATTTGAACTTTATTAATGTAAAACGATCTTGTTATTCTTGATCACTTTATTTTGCTTAATCATGTCATTATTTTGCCTAATCATTTCACCATTTGGCCGTCTCAGAAACAAACAGGAACGATTAATCTCAATTTAAAATACTGCTCTCAAATTATTATATCATAAACTAGGGACCAGTCCGACTTTTCACAGGTGCAGTATAGGTATTAATTGAATGATCAAACGAACTTACCGTAGTGAAGTTCGATCTGAATTATCCTGTAATTGTACTGAGGGTAGGTAACTACATAGTAAATAAAAAAAACAATCTTGGAGGCGATAACAGCATATTAGAAATGGAGTAGGGTTGATTTTTCAATACAAAGACACTATCCATTTTTCCATTGGATTTACAGAAAAATAAAACACTTAAATCCATCAACCTTTTCCTGATAATAATTAATACAAAAACAAAAGAAGTTTCCAATTTGATATTTTCTTTCCTTTCAAAAGTCATGCGTGTACATTTTAGATCACTAGAGATTATTTATATTTAAAAAATGGTACTTCGATATAAAGAAAATGTATATATATAAACATTTATAGCACTTATAAGGCGGCCAAAATTTATAAATATTGCTCTTGATTGATAATCTCAAACAATCCTCGATAGAGTCGCCTTATCGCAATCGGAAAATCCTTTTATTTGGTACATATTCAAAGTTAATAAAAATAATGAATACTCTTAACCGAAACAAAAGAGAAAGTACACTGACAAGCGGCAGACTTCGCAAATAAAGTGAGGCGTAAAACCAGAGCGCGGAATTAGCATTAACAGAAGTGTGTCACGCGATCTAGATTTCGCTAGGTCTATGTTAATGAGTGTACTTACTTATTAATTTCGCATGTGCAGATTTTATTATCATTATACGCTGATACTTGCCATGCTTTATTTAAATTTTGGGTCGTTATTTGAGGTGCTCAGGAGTAAAAATTTTCGGATTATTTGACTAAAGACGTTAATTCATGCAAAACAGCTTTATAGGTATACTATATTGTGTTGCGGTTAACTACATTGTATTCTTTTACAACATATGTTTGGAAGACTTTGAAATTTTGCTAGAAATAAATTGTGGAGGGTGCGGGTTCGAGTCCCATCCGCTGCCTGAACTGCGTTTATTTTTTTCCTAGCAAAAGTTAATTTAAATTTACACATCTAGCAGTTTAATGCTTAAAAAATGAAAACATAACTATGAGAATAAACTTAATTTTTATGTCATTTTTTCTGTTAAACTTGGATAAACATATGTATATATCAGGATTAATATTATAAAGAAGGGAAGGAATGGACGTAGGAAAAGGAATATTTGCTCTCTTCAATGAATCAAAAAAGGCGGTTCTTATATTTATATTTTTACTTTAGTTACCTTTATTTATCTATATTCCCCTACCTACTCACCTGTTGTTCCTTGTTGTTTTTCATCGCAAATCTTACTTTTTTTTGTTCATATCTTTTCCTACCTTTTAACATCTCTAATCACCATATATCCAACTACCAACTATCCATATTCCAGTCCTTTAATCGATCAAGTTTAATCGATTTACTACCCAACCACATCAAATGAAGCTTGCATAAGGCAAATGTCAACATTAGCCGTCATGCCATAATAAAAGAAGAAAAAAACCTTACAAGATACTGACATTTTGCGTTCCCTACCTTCACATCCGCAAATGGAAGTTGCAACCTATGCCAATCAAATAGTAATTTTTTGTAAAAATTTAAATGTCATAGTATAAAGTTGTACAACTTGTACTCTGTAAAACGAAAACAGCCACGGAACAAAACAAAACGAGCGAGCCTTACAGTAGTCGCGTGTGATGTGTAACATTTGAAACCTCACCTTATATTAGTAAAAAAAACCCTACCCTACAAAAGGAATAAGCCATTTAAACATTATGTTCTAAAATCAAATCAAATAGCGCGCGCTTTCGCGACTTCCTGTTACA